GGGGGGGGGCTGTATTTTAGTGGGAATTGTTGGTGGGGGAATGAAAGTGATTGTACATATTGTCATGGTTCTTCTTGTGACAGCAATGGTGCCTTTTTTTTTTTATTTCTCACTCGGAATCCGGTATCCACGTTGGGACCCGACTAATCCGGATTCACGCCGGGAAGTCCCACATTTGGGGGGTAAAGCGCTCCCTAACAAAGACGACTCCATACTCATGGGCTCGAACTCGAGACGTGTGGTCAAGGATGAAGGAGTACTTACCACTCCACCACAACCCTTGTTGGTGACAGCAATGGTGCTTTGAGTATTCATTCCCCAAGATTTTTTCTTCTCTACGTTAAATTAGCAATGCTGGGACTGATCGTATTTCCTTTAGTGAATCTTATGTGACGTAAATTCAAATTAGTTAGAGTCCTAATATAAATATTGGATGTCGAATAAAATACTAAAAAATGAGCAATGCTTAATCTGACATTGACATCAAATTAATTTTATTGAAATACTTCAGAATATTCCATTAGGAATTATCCCCATATGAAAATTTTGGCAGTAACAATTCAAGTCATAATATTACAACTTTGAAATTAATCACAAGAGAAGATTCTTGACCAATTGAGTTATTTTTAAGTTAAGAAAATAGAAGAAGTTCATGTTCAGGGTAAAACAATTCCTATGGAACCACATGACTCACATGGTTTTGTTGAGGTATTTTAGATTTCATTTATTTAATTAATAATTGGCAAGCGTACGAATTTTGAGAAAAAGCAGTTATATTTCTTCATATCACATCATGGAAAAAGAATTGGCACAAAAATAATGAAAAATCCTCTAATGAGGCCAAAATTTCTGAACTTCATATCTCCTAGGCATTTACGCACGTTTTGGTTCAACAAGCATTCCTAATTAGACTAATAAAAAAATTTAACTTATGAAACAATATATATTTCTCGAATAATAAATACAACCACCAAAGGTTATGGTGAGACAATTTTATCCAAAAAATCACGGGTATAGGCCTCAAGAACGGAGAATTTCCTGATATAAAGAGCATAATATACTGGTCCAGCATAATATGCTAGAAGTTCATATACAGGTGCTCCAATCCCAGTATATTATGCTGGAACTTTCCGTGTGTTGGAATTCCATCATAATATGCTTGAAGTTCATACACAGGTGCATCAATCTCTAATATATTATGCTGTAACTTTCCATGTTACAGCAAAATAGTGGCTATTTTTTAATTATCAATCCTAAAACTAGGTATCCCGTCCTATTTTTACGAAAAATTACTCATCCACAATGGAAATCTTCATTTATATCCACTTGCTAAAAGATAAAAGAAGAAATGCAACTGTGCGTCTATGCCTTTTTCACCTTTATCTCACCCTTCTTTACTCTTTTCTTGATTCTCTCAACCAACATACCCATGTAAATTGGCAAGAATAATATCCCTATTTCAAGTACATTTTCAGATGAAAATGCAATAGTAGGGTAGGGACGAATACAAAATTTAAAGTTTTTAAATGTGAAGTACAATAATATTCATTGCTTTTTTATTAGGAAAAAGTCTAAATTCGCCTCCATTCTATTTGAAATTGTTTAATTCTACCCCGTGTTCTACATTTGGCTCATTCGTACCCCGATCATTAGTATATTAACAGAGCTTCTACTTGAAATGGGTCTAAATTTATCCCACAAGTTTTTACTATGTTTTAAAATTACTTTCAGAGCTTCGTTAGGAGTCAAGAGCAAAAATAAAATATTTTTTTAACAACGAGGTTAATATTAAATTCCAATTTTTATAGAGTCAAAATTGCTTAAATTCTAATAGCAAGGATAAATTTGATCCATGTTTCGTTTTTATTATAGTGAAAGCGAGCATAGTATGAAGAAGTTTTTTTTTTTTTTTTATAAATTGAACTTTACTTGTGCATAGTTTAATTTGAAAAAGTAGAAAAAAGTTAAATTCATTAAAAAAGATGAATAAATATAGCAAAGAGTCGTTGTGGTCCAAATAGATGCCTTGTGAGTTGTGACACAAAATAATTGCACATAAATTATGAGTCGTATGGAAATAGGAGTTACTTAATTAGTAGTGGGCTTTCTTGTAAATATCAATAGTTAGGTGGGGTATTTGAAAAGTGAGCTACATATATGTAATTGTTAGTTTCTACGGAAACAACTAACTCATTCTCTCCTTCCTCATCTCTGATATATCGAAGCTCTTTCTTCTTCTTCTTCATTTTTTCCTTTTACGTCCATTTTAGGTTTAAGGTTGAGATCATATTCAACCATAATTCAATATGGTATCAGAGCAATCAAGCCACGATTGTGAGCTAAAATTGCAAATCCAGTAAGTAAATCTATCGATTGAGAAGAATTTCCATTTTCTCTGTTTTTCCTTCATCAATGGCGAACACGCTCGATCACAACCATGCATTGTATCTACACCCCTCAGACACAACAGGAGCTCCGATTGTGTCAATTCAATTGACCGGATCAGACAATTACTCGATTTGGAGCCGTGCGATGAGAATCCAACTGTTAGGTAAGAACAAGTTAGGGTTAATCGACGGCACCTTGAAACGAGAAGATGTCGTAGAGAATCTAGGTCATCAATGGGACAGATATAATGCAATAGTTTTGGGGTGGATTATGAGTTCTGTGTCGAAGGAGTTAGTAACGGGAATAGTATATGCCAAAGATGCATGTCGAGTCTGGGAAGATCTAAAGGAGCGTTTTGATAAAATCAATGCATCTAGGATTTATCAATTGCACAAAGAGATTGCAACTTTATGTCAAGGAACTAATAGTGTGTCGACATATTTTACTAAGCTCAAAGAGCTTTGGGATGAATATGAGAGTATGATTCCAGCTTGTCGTGATAGAGAATTTGTTGAACATCTTCACAGACAGAAGCTAATGCAGTTTTTAATGGGGCTTAATGAGAACTATGAACAGGCGCTAAGTCAGATTCTTATGACAAACCCTACATCTAATGTTAGCAAAGCATATGCGATGATCATTGAGAGAGAGAGCCAAAGAGCTGTCTCTAATGTGTCTATGATGAGCGAGAATTCAGAGGCCACAGCCTTCATGACTACAAAAGGAGGAAGTTTTCAAGGAAACTATTAGGGACAAAGCCATAGGCCTAGGAAGAATTGGAATTTGCAATGTGATTTTTGCAAAATGAAAGGGCACACAAAAGAGACATGTTACAAAATAGTAGGATATCCTACTGATTTTAAGTACAAGAAAAGAGGATCAGGAGCTAATGTTGCAAGTGCTAATACCTCTTACAATGTAAGTGCTGAAAATTGTAAT